AATCAGTGTGGTTTGGAACGCTCCACGCATTCGACATCCACTCAATATCGATTCAGGAGACCCCTCACATCCCCTTGGTCCTTGAAACTTTCAAACTTCTGCGACTGCCGAGAATTGGGTTGTAAATAGCCGGTCAACATAAACACAACAAATCGGTCGTGAACTTTGCGACAGATAGAGATAGTTGCAGTCAAACAAAGGGACAAAATCTGTTATAGTGTGTCGAATACTGAAAGAATTAGAATGCATCCGAAGCTCAAGCATCGGCCATATCATAAAAAAGAAAAGAACTCAATGAATGCTCGAAAATCACGCCTACCTTCAGACAAACAAATTCCTCTTCTCGCATTTGTAGCTGTCGCATCGGCCACACAATTTCATCGAGCACTCTGAAAACAATAAACAAAACATTACTTCATGGATTCGCAAAAAAATGTTTCTGATAATTAAATGAAAACTGTAAAAGTCGTTACCTAGGGGTGATATTGCTCGTTTTGAATGCTGCAAAGCCATTTAGTTCGCTGGATTGGTCTCGGCTCATATAGGTGTTGTTAAAGAGGCAGACACGTGTAGTATCAGGACTTCTGAAAAAAAAANACAATCTCGAATGAACCTTAGAATCAAGGAAGACCACCTGAAGGCTGGCATCAGGATCAAGTGTTGCGGTGCGTAATTCTTGAGGAGAATTATTTTGTCCTCCATGATCAAATTCGGAAACGGTTGCAAAGCTTTCGCCCACTCGACCATCAGCAATAACGTCGTTCGTGAAATTTCATTCAAGTCCTGAACAAATGATTGGGTTAAAGCTCGAGAAGCGCCAAAAAACAAGGTTGCTCCCACATTGACCTAAGAAGGGACTTACTATAACTGAGACCTTTGATAGATTCTCATCAATTCCAATAAGAGGCTGTATCAAATGATATTGAACATGTAGCCATTAATTTCTGAGCGCCCAGAACAAGCGAATCTGTCGATGAATCTGTCTTTGTAGACCCCACAACTTTTGCGCAACAGAGACTCATTCCCTGTTTACGGTCAAGGATACCACCTGAAGGCAGAAATCAGAATCAGGTGGTACTCCTTGACGGTGTTGGTAACGTACTAGTACATAAACTAAAAAGAGTGAACAGAGGACGAAATCCTATGTAGCCATTAATTTCTGAGCGCCCAGAACAAGCGAATCTGTCGATGAATCTGTCTTTGTAGACCCCACAACTTTTGCGCAACAGAGACTCATTCCCTGTTTACGGTCAAGGATACCACCTGAAGGCAGAAATCAGAATCAGGTGGTACTCCTTGACGGTGTTGGTAACGTACTAGTACATAAACTAAAAAGAGTGAACAGAGGACGAAATCCTGCTAGGCCCCTCTTCATGGATATACTCGTGCTAGGAGCGGAATGGGGATAGCGGCCGATTATTGGCTCACTCCAGCAAAACGCTCCTTCGATGACCCTTTTAATCACTGTTAGCTCTTCTTAGGTGGGTTTATGAGCTTGGGGGCATTGAAAATCTATCTAAGCTGTAAGCAAGCTTCGGGCAGTGGGCAGAGGAATCTACTAAAATCAAAGGATGAAGCCAGCTTCGCTTCCTTCTAAGGTAGATTTTATGTGCTATATAGATTTAAAGAGCACACAAAGCTAGAGCTACGAGCTCGACAGTCCACAATATTCTGGGAGAGGTAGGGAGCCAACGGAAAGCCGACATCCTTTCCATATAAAATCGCAGCCTTGGTAATGAACATCGACGACGGAAAGAGTGTTACTCGTTGTTCCGCAACAAGCAGGTCACAAACGGGAGTCAGATTACAATTCTGATTTTTTTTTTGTGTATTTTCTTCTCAACATCACATCAACAACATTCCCAGCATTTGCCAACAGAAGGAATCGATGATTCGCGGGAATTTTTCTATGAGTTCTGCGAACGTGAATCCACTTCAACCGACTTAGACAACAAAAATCCAAGAAACCGAAATTAGCTTGCCATGATTAAGATTTTCATTCATCAACTTTCGAACCTTACCCAATTCAGTAAACTCGAATCCATATCACTATAGCACAAGTGTACAGCACAAGGAAGACATCTCAAAACGAGAACATCGTAGCCTTCGAAAGGTAGTTGAAGCCAAATGTGATTGAGAAGAAGAAGCTAGCAAATAGTGAACTGTATCGCTGTACCAATTTTCGGTACGAATCACAAGCAGAGTTCAATACAGGATTCAGCATTTCTTGAGATACCTGCGACAAGCCAATGGACTAATAAAAGTAAAGTAGATTCGTCGATACAAAGCATTTCTACACTCCCACCACAATGAAAATATGCTCTGAAACGAAGTATTCAGGTTCCAGACCATCTCATCTCCGCGGAGCTGACTGTTTCCAACTGTGAAGTCGTTGTTGTCAAAATGAGAATAATTCTACAAACCGAACCTTAAACATGATTCAAGAGACAAAAAAATTGGAAAGCTACTTAAGTAGAACATCAGTCTCGCCTATTCAGCAATCGAATGTTTTCATCACAAGCAGAAGTGCATATGCCTAAGCGGTAAACTGCTTGTCGGTGACAGTGGTATCTGCTCACTTTTGCCTTTCGTCTTCTGCGCTGATAATGGAATATGGGAATTCGGCAGTAAGGAACAACCCATAGTGATATAACTAGTGATCCAGCTGACTAAGCAGAATCGACTACGCAAAATCCAGCAGAACCCATTACGAAGCACAGCCGCCTCTATGAGCTTCAGGAGCAGATAAACGAAGAACCAGTTCATTCCTCCTGTCGCTGTTCTGACAATGAGTGATCATGAGCAGCAGAGAATTCATGCAGACAACAGAACGAGATCGAGGTTGTAGCCAGCGCGCACTAAATTTCGAAAAATTACGAAAATTTAACTGATTTTGTGTAAGTATCAAAGAAAGCGCAGCAGCATTACGATTTCCAAATCTTATATGAAACTTCCAACCAACCAGTTGGCGGAAAATATCAACAGCAGGTCTCAGCGCCACAAAGCAATTTATCCTGGTGGTAAGGGTAATGTTCAGAAGCCATCTCCACCCCCTCACGCCCTGCCAGCCGATTTGAGTGGCAAATAGGCAATCGTGAAGTCAGTCAGTCAGTCAGTTAGTGACAGGCGTTGTTCTGAATCAAAGGGCGGTACATTTATAATGGCAACAGAAATCTCTAGATCCGAATATTTAGACACTTTTATTGAGATGCTGACCTTATCAAAGATGTAATGGAGTGCAAGGGAACCCGCGGGTTAGATCAAGCTACTTCTATGTCCACTAATCACCAGAAAAAAGCTCTGTTGGCAGTCGAGGAACACCAGAAGCCACTTAGGCGTACTATCTCGCAGGCCATTTTCGCGGCTCTTTTCGATCATTTCCCCAGCATTCCCTTCAAAACAGCACGAAATAAGATTCCAACAGCGACTCGCTTTGTCTAAAATGGATGAGCTGAGCATAATAACAATGATGTCTTCTATGCCGGCTTTCTGCACGACTTCGTACCAACATATTTCCTTGCAGTCGCACTGGAACATTTGAAAAAGAAAACGATCCCCTCAAAGTAGTCTCGATATGCCCCACTTGTGTGTTGAGTGATCCTTAAACATCTATGTATTGTTGCGGCGATAGACTACCGTAAGAGTTTAGTAGTCTAGGAAATCATCAGCACATAGTGGAGCTTCATGGTTTTGTTGTGCTCCACTACTTCTGCCGTTTGTAGAAAGAGGCGGAGCGGTACAAAGGCCGATGTGAGGAACGCTAGGGGAGAAGTTCTCCCAAGGAACTTCGTGTTGTCGCTCCCGGACCTCCGTCAGACTAACACGCTTTCCGCTGTTATCCGGCATAGTGTATGTCCTCTCTGTGTATCGCACAATGAAGACGTAGTTGATGAATTGTCATGCATTATTGTGCTGCTAAACTGAATCACACACAATATCAGGCTTGCAGCCACTACTTAAGACTCTACCGAGCAATCAGCGACAACTTGCGATAAAGTACAGTACATGAGATGTTCCATTACGGACGTTTCTAGCCTGGACATAGAAGGTATGTCAAAGTAGGCGCAGTCGTTACATTATAACAAGACCTCTAATTAAAGTGAAATACGGAGAACGTCCGTTGCGCGGTCCGTCGAATGTAGGTCACCCCGCCCATCGCGCCGAACGACATACACCCCTGCTACGTTTGTCAAAGAGCGCGGGCTGACCCGCCGCATGCGACAGTGTGACCTAGTTTCTACGGGCGCGCGCAACGAATCGCACCCGTGAAATACCCACCCAAACACCTGAGAATGTTCCACCGATAGGGCGGATTCACGAGGCGAGGCGTAATAAAGCTACATAGATCGTCTGCTCCCGATAATTTGTCTTTTGATGAGCATTTAGAGTACAGGACAGCAAAGCGATTTAACAAAGGAAGGCGCTTGTTGTTACATAGTATAACATCGAGCTTCGCCGCTAGGACCGACACTAGCAGATTTCCAATGCATTACTATGCAAGAACAAGAAAAATCAACAAATGATGCGAACGTATTGTTACTGACCTCAGCAGTGCATGGTTTATTCGGTTGTGAGAAAGCTGAAGTTGATGGTTCACCGCCAATACTCGTGGTATTTGCTGGTTGGATCACTGTGTTGCGATAACGTGCACACATTTCCTAAATGAAAAATAAATGTAGTACGTTGATATATGCGATCAATCCTGATCCAGTACTTGTAGAAACGAGCTCTATCCCTGATGACAGAGCTACTTCAACGCAGAACACTACCGAGTCATGGATAAGATATTCTGAGACATATGGCACTGTAGTCTAACCACGCAAAATCTCGTCCCCTTCGCCGCAGGAAAGCAAACGGCTGCAGAATGTGGCGCGTGTTACAGTCTGGGAGACTACCATTACTACTAGTAATGGTAGTCTCCCGGACTAGTAATGGTAGTACTAGTAATGGTAGTAGTAATGTACATTACAATGTACAATACCTTCATCTGACTTTGGGTTTGGAGATGAAAACTCTTCAAAACATCTTTGACCTTCAATGAAATAGATGGAATGAAGTGGAGGGCCGGTAGGCTTAGAAAGAAACCGAATGACCGGAACACAAAACAGCGCCAGATTAGAGTCAGAACGTGTTACCGAAAGAACTCCGATCCACTCTCTAGTCCCACCTGATTCACTCGACGTTCCATATCCATGAGTGCCGAAATAACCGAAGATTGAACTTCGACAGGTTGTTCAGGACCCGGCGCAGGGCTTCCTCGGGAGCGTTTTGTTGGGCTACTTCCTGTTGGATCTCTTTCAAACTGTATGGCTGAAACATAAGGTTTAATTTGAAATCCACATACATACAGGGTGACCCACATGAAGTGTGACACAGAAAACTAACAACAAAATTGTTCAAATCAATTCAAATAAGATAAATTTACTCCTATACAAACATCACAAAATTGTAAACATAATATCACATCTCGAACTCAAAATGTCCTCCTTTCCATTCCAAAACCATTTTTACAAATGAATAGCAAAGAAGACTGCCCACATTAGGTTCAAAAAATGCGGGAAAATCAAATTACCCCATAATATAGCGAAAGAAGTAAACGAGAAGCCCAGAAATCGATTTTTTATATCTCGTCACACTTCATGTGGGTCACCCTGTAATCTGTATTACTGTCAACGCAGCAAGCAGCAGAAGGGGTGCGCGGGAATTCTATCGGATAGATAGTTAGCTGGCCAGTGACTGCTGAACATTTCAGGCAGTCAACCAATCTCGATATGTCTCATTAAGTCTTGATGTCTCAAGTCTATCTTATTCGTCTTTTCCTTCAGTAAAATAATGGAGGTCGTACGACGTTGTGGTCATTTTACTCTCTATGTAACGCCCTTCTCTTCGATGTATTCCATTGGCCTTTCACCAATAATCACAGCTAGTTCCGATATGAGCGATCGCGAACGGGCAAGAAACTGCAAGTTCTAGATCTTTTGCACTTGGCTTTATTTTAACTGGCCATATCATACAATGGAATTCAATTTAGTTAAATTTTTGCTTCCGGCAGAAATAAAAACTTTCCCGCACCACACGCAACATTCGCACTATTGGGTTTTAGAGTGCACTAACGGAACGGTCATTCTCTGAAGGAAAAACAATAAATCCTGAACTCAGTAACAAATTCTCCTTTTGCTCAATGGCTGGGGCTTTCGACTCTTTACTCATTAAGACTTCAAAGTAAGTTGAAGAAAAGTTTGGTATGGCGTGGACCTGAGACAACATCCTACGGGCAGTTGGACCATTTGCACTGGATGAAAATAGCGGGGATCGTGGTTTCGGGCTGGATTGATCAACGCTCACATCAGTGGACGCTTACGATCAGATAATGGTGGTCGACGTCACTCTCCCTTGTTGATATTCAGTCTACACCAGTTATTTTTGAGGCAGTTGTAGACACAGGGACCAAGGTCTACACCAAAGCCGCCGCCAAAGCACTTATTCAGCCGAAATGTGCAGTGCGAAATGTACCTGCCTTAGCTGTCTCTGGACAGCTAGAGGTAGCCTGCGCACCCCATCTGCTTCATGCTTTCTTTGACTACTGTTAAGCGAGCTGGGAGGTATTATAACCGCTGTTGAGCAAAGAGGCGTCAACGTGAGTTCCCTTGCATACCTTCTCTCTTCATTCCAACTCGTACACACTTATTGAATCGGCAACATCGGCAAGCACATCGCATGCTTTTGTCCACGACACACTGGTGCTTGAATCTGCACGTAAACTTCTGATCACGCAACACTGTGCGGCGGAAGAATCCCTGCAAAAATCTCGAAATAGTCAACAATTCAACAAGGCTGCTCGAAAAATCAGAACTCAAAATTGTCCGATTTGCAGATTCATTTCATAGCAGAGCTGCAGGTCTTATTGCCACTACGGCCGAGTACTAGAGTCATTACTCTGCATTCTTCTAATAAGTACATATCAAAGAGGGAATTTATCAAACTGTCTACTGAAATCGATATTGATTGATAATTCACCCACGTTACACAGCCTACTTGAAATGATTATTACGATTGATCAAGGGTTATAACTCATGCTCGGCCCAATTTGAGACTCCCTCACGTCACCTGTGAGTCCACTTATTTACCAGAACCCTCGTTCACTACTACAGAGATTATGTACCTCAACTTCGGGGATCTTCCTGATACTGAGATGGGTGGTCACGCTCAAGGGAGTGTTGATTAACAATAATGATAGTTAAAATATTGGCCTTAAACAGTCGGCCAATCAAATTTACGCTTGCAACCTGCAACCTACTGTCCCTCAGCTACCATCTGTTCAGCATGGATCAACTCATAGACGACACGCAAATTAACTACATGATCCTCAACGGATTCCGATGGGAAACAAGTGTAATAGAAAATTAAAGAACAGCTGAAAGGAGTAGATTAAAATGAAATCGAAGGATGAAAGAAAAAGGGGAGCAGTGACATGGAAACAAGGGAACTGGATGATTCGATAGGAAGAGATGAAGAGATGTTCAATGGAAACAAAAGAAAGGTGAATGATGTGAATGAGAGAGATGTAAAAATAATACGACCGACGCGAAGTTATGAAGTGGGGAAGGTACGCACATTTATATCGAGGAGCCAAAGGACTGCAAAAATGTGTCACTGGAGTAGCACAGATCGGAATGATGCTGTAATTGTAATTTCGGTAATAACAAATTACACAGCTCTGGATTTTCATTTTGCACCAAGTGATATAAGACTTATTGCGAAAAATAAAGACTTAGGTTTGCACCATTACACCTTTGCCGGAATGCGAAAGACCAGAAGCTGATTGAGTATTCCGTCTTGAAACTTAAGCTCGTGCAGAGACAAGGACAGATATTTACTCAAAAGAGAAACTAATTCTGCAGTGTGATGTTTATGTGCAAAGGATGATATGGAGTTTTTCTACCCTCATAAATGTTTGAGCAAGTGTGCCTGTCAGAGCTAATAAATGTATGCGTACCACATGCGCTCACTTTCAAAAAAAGGGGTATTTATAGCACAGTGAGGGTTTGCAATGACTCGAAAAATCGCATCGTAAATTCGTTAAATGAAATGATGTAGGATTCTGTATTCCATACCAGCCTCGACCATTCCAGACTGTGGGTAGCAGTATGCAATACTTTCGTCTTCCCGATCGCAAGTAGATAATTTAACCATGGCGGGTCCATACTAACGCTAGGGAGCCTTAAGTTATGCCACTCCCTAGTCCATTTCTAGATGGACTGAAATGGAAACAGTAAACAGCGACTCGCACGGAGCACCAGTCTTTGAAGCTCCGAACTACAGAAGGAACGATGCACTGTATGCCCACAGCTTTGCAACCAGCATAGCAGGCTGAATGATGGACATAGGAAGGGATCAGGAACAGTCAAAATCCCTCGAGCATTGGTTAATAAAAATGGTACTTGAAGACATTTCATATTATAGGTCCCATTCTTTCTAGGCATAGCCTTAAATGTATGCACGCTATCAAAAAAGCGGTAGACTGCTCTGGCCGCTTCACGATTTTAAAATCGAAGTTTTGTTTATACTTTCCCATAAATGCACATACACACATACCTGATATGCACAAACACATGTGTATGTATGATAGACAAATTGACACACATGAACAGACACTCAACCACACTTTGAGCTTCCGATTACAGTTCGGATTGCTACTAATTGACTGTGAGAATAACCTCTTACGCTCCTTCAGAATACAGCAGTTTTTGTTATTGTCACGGTTCAATGTCAGCCGAAATTTCTTCAGAAAACTTTCTGAGTTTCTGAGAAAGTGACTCTAGGAACGCCGTTATTCTTTAATCGATGACTCTTTATGAAAAAAATAACTAAGGGGAAAAGGCCAGAAAAGCCACGGTATTTTAATTGTTATGGTCACAGGTATGGAACGGAGCGAAAGCAGCGCCGGACGGCTAAGAAGACTAAAATGCATTACAAATGACTTCGCCACGCCGCTCTAACGACTCATTGAACGTGCATCTCGATCGATGGATGTGCGAACTATAAACGTTCTTAGCTCTAGCTTATACATAGTTTCTCAATATGAATAGCCGCAAAGGGAACAGTGCTTGACCGATTCAGTTTTGCTGAAGCTGAAAAAAACTCTCGAGCCTTGCCTTCTTGACGAATATTCAATAATAATCGTTTCTCATAAAAACCTCTTGACATCAATCTAGAACAGCCTAGAAAAGAGGAGGTTCCTAAACTAGGCCGTCCTCTGCGGGCCATAAACTTTTTGAAAACATAAGCATTAGTGCTCTCCATCTTTAATGTGGTGGCAAAGAAATTCAGTCTTGCACGAAGGCATGAAAATTCTCGAAGAAGTCCGGTCATATGAGGGGTGCAAGGTCTGGATCAAAACGTACGGTGCATGCATGTGGAGGCAAAGTGTGTGTCAGTAGTATGTGAACCCAGGTCGATTCGTTCATTAACGGCTCAGGAGTCGGAAAAAGGGATAAAGTTGAGAAGCATGCCTTCGATAAGAAGCAGTTGATAGAGGACGCACTTTATTGGGTCTTCGCCTCTCATAAGAAAACTTTGTTCGAGTGCACACTGCAATTAAAGTAAAGTTGTCGACAGTGAGAAATGCTCGATATGTGTAGAGTGCACTGAAAATAAGTGGACAGTCTCACAAGGATGGCGATTTGTGGGCGAAACTTCGGCCTCGGACGGGACTCGAACCCGTACTTGTGCATTCCGGGCACCGTGCTCTTTATCCCTCACACTACCGAGACCCCGTCTGCCCTCGCCTTCTCAATGGCTTATATACCACAGCTAATGTAAGTAGGGGTTCGAGTCCCGTCCGAGGCCGAAGTTTTGCCCGCCATTTTTGTGAGACTTTCACATCGCGTACTGCGGCGATATAACAGCAGTTAACAAAACATCAAGTCAAAATAAGTGGACAATTCATAGTGAGCAAAGCATATTAGAAAACGCAGAACCCGGCCCATTCAGCTCCAATTTGGCCATTATACAGAAAAGAAAAAACAATTCACCGAGAGAGTTGTAAACAAAGGGCAGAGATGATCAGGTGGCAAGTAACGCACGCATGGCTAGAAGATCGAAGCCCAGGCGATACTACTCAAGGTCAGCGAAGCGTGATCAAGGAAGAGTGGGTTGAAATCATTAGATTGTATGATTAGTGCCTACCGAAAATTTCACATTAATCCAGATTTTTTTCCGGGTTTTTTTCGACCATTGGATCTCTCAGGATAATCAAAAAGCTCGGACTGTGGCTACTCTACGTGAACTGACCATCAGCAATGGCCGAGACGGGCATAGAAGACCTGCACTCAGCTGTTCTCACTGAGTCAAACACGCCATTAGCTGTACACGATCGTTACTGAAATTAAAAATAGATCCCCTTCAACCACACACACAAACGTACCCGGGCTCTAACAACGAGCACAGAAATGTTCTGTGAAAGATAGACTCTACGTTCAGTGTCTGGTGAAGAGCTCATAGAATCTACCACTTTGAGCACTGCCGGATAACACGACGGCTACTGCTCAGGTCACTACACTCAACCAGGAAACTGGCCGAAAAGATGCGCAAGGAGCCCTAAATTGAAAACAGTTTGCTGACTGTACGATAATGCGCGCCCCCGCATGGCAAAAGAGTGTTCGCAGGAAAGCCCAGCAGGAAGTTCTGTCGCGCCCACCGCAAAGCTCCGATCTGGGCGCGAGCGACATCCACCACTTCCGATCATTTCAGCACCAAATGGAACAGATGCGCTATGATGACCAAGACCTTTGCGAAAATGATCTCGAGCTTTCCTTGCCTCTGACAATGAGTCACTAGACTTCTACGTCAAAGGGATTCATGGACTTGTTGAAAATTGGTGGAAGGTAGTTTAGTTGATAAAAATATGATTCCATTGAATAACAAAATGTTATTAGTAAATCACGCTGCCTTGTAACTTGCCCTACTTGGGCAGATAGTCCCGTGCATCCTTAGGAAAATTCTCGTTCTACTTCCGACATTGCTCTACCATTTTTCTCTCTCAATTATTAAGCTAGTTCAAAAGTAAAGTACTTTTCCCTGAATTTTCCTCATTCAAGCCTGTTAGGCTTATGGTAACTACACCAGGTTCTCAAGGCTATTCCACAGAAAACGGCAACTAAGCTGCGACACTGACGGATCCTGGGCCAACTGTATTAAGAACGAAGCGTTTCTTCCGATAGTCTGTGTTCAGGAAAGGGCGTTGTTTCAAGTTTTCCGACTTGGTGCAGCAAGTTGTCATCAAAATCCAAGGCAGTGTATCCGACGGAATTCAACAACTCCTTCAGAGAATGATATGGAGCTATTCGCTTCAGTCTGTCATCCGTAGATAGGCTAAGCTCAAAGCCTTAATTTAGCCTGATGATTGTTTGCCACTCCCAACATCTTTTTGGGCACATGTGCATGTCCTAAATTCATAACCACTGTTTTTTTTTGAAATCAGAGGATTCAAATTTCGTAGGAATAGAGGCGGCAGGAAAGCAACAGTTGTGGTAGGTGGCAGGGCTGGATTCGGCACATAAGGGGTAGGGCATGCGTGACAATTGTTCCCTTGGACTCATATCGCTAAAATTTGGAGGGGTACGGGCGACAGGATGAAAATACTGAGGAATAAACCTAATTACTTGAAGACACATAATGACTCGAATAGGATCGCGCATGATGGGCTAGGCACTTGCGAAGTGCGTCGGCGTGTGTGTACGGCCAAAATTCATAAGTCGCGTCCAAATTAACAAAATGGTGCGGACGGAAGGCCATATTCAATATGATAATGAGGAATTGTCGTCTACAAAAGCATCTTAACAAAATATATACAAATATAACCACTAATGGTATTTATGAATATACACATATTTATTTATAGTAAAATGCTCTTATAGAAACATGTGAGCTAGTATAAGCTCTAAGCATTGCCCATTAATCGAACGGAACGAAACAAACGTAGACCTTTCAAGGATTGCAGTGAATTATTCTTTTTTACAATTTTTTTTACAACGCATTCAATCTACAAACATCTGTCAACACCCCCATTGCGGATGCCGCAGATGGCCACCCCTTGTAGGGAGTGGAGAGTAACAAGAAAGATATACGGGATTTGAACCCTTAACCATGCGTGTGTGAAGTGCGCCACTTGCCACTACACCACCTACACCCGTAACAAGAAAAACTATCTTCAAATGGGCAATCCCTAAAAATACACTTACTGCAATTGAGAAAAACATAAGTAGACTTTTTTTTCGAAGCAGATTGAAAACAAAAATTAGGGAACAGGGGACCGTTTCTTTCGAGAGTGGGCAGGGCATATTTTCTGGAACCGTAGAAACAAATACTACATGCGTCACTACGATACTGGATGGGAGGTGAAGGCGGAGTGCGCATCCCAAAACGGAACTGTTAAGTGTCAAAGGCTTTATTCTTTATTATATGTGTATGTGAATATGTTGTATAGCATGTGCATTTGATATGCCAAGGTTGCACTAAGAGATTACCGGTATGTATTATCATTTCTGCCATCCTAGTAACCCAAACATATCATGCATAGGCTATCTATATGTGAATCACAGCTATTTCCCAGTCAATAGAACGAGTTTTCATCTAACAAGGCATTCATTGTACTGTTCCCTATGCCCAACGTCTACGAAACGTTAACAAACATCACCGAACTGGTTTTCGGAAGAAAGAAATTTTGCGTTGTCTCAAACCGACGAACACATGACGGAACTATTAGAGCCAATTAAAACAAGAAAACCAATAGACCAATAGAATTTCATGAATCAAGTGACCATGGGAGCTTGCAAGCAATAAAACAGGAGGGAAAAGACAGACGTAAATCGGAACCGGAAAACGGAAGAAAAAGAAGATCAAGGAGGATAATTAGGGAGAATGAGTTGCGAGAAAAGGGCTGCAAAAAATGAAAAAACACACAAAAAATGGGATTCCACTATGTGACAGATGAGCTTGACTGGAGAGCATTGTATGTATAGTGCAGGTAAAATGCATATCTAGTCATCGTAAATGCTCCAAGATACTGATAATAATCAAACCGATTAGTAGCAAATAAGGAAAAATAAAAAATCTGTGGCTATAAAATAATAATTGAATTATCATTTAACAAAAAACTGAAAAAAAACATAAGCATACCTTGCATCCATTACATGAAATCACCCCATAGTGTGTCCCTGTTGATTTGTCGCCGCATACAGCACATGGTTCGGCGAGTGGATCTACTAAACGAGGAAACCAGTAGAAGTTGTGAAGTAGAAGAACTCGTTCTCGTTGCAGCTCCACACTCAACGTTGAGCTATTAGGATAGGGTGTTCTGATCTTTACAGTTCAACGGTAAATTTCGACATGTAAGCCTTACCGTAAGCGAACCAGACCAGCTGCCGCTCAGCTGCCCTATTTCGCGCTATTATTATATTCAATCACTGCCTGCTATTATAATCAAAGATGAGCGGAAAGAAGAAAAAAATTCAAAAATACATAATACAGAAAAGTCTGATTAAGACAACAATTGGAGCACACATTTTGTAAAAAAATTACAGACTTTCAAAGCGACCCTAAATAATATTTTGCTATTGTTTGATACGCCTCAAATAATAAGACTCCGATATATTAACAGTTAATATGGGGAGTGACCGCGACAGAGATCGATCAGTAATGGGAAATCCTAACTCTAATAAAACGAAAGTAAAATATAATAAGGAATATGTAAGGACTAAGAATGTGTCTTTCAGCTTGACATTTCAATATGTTGGTTGCAGTAATAGGGAATATAAGGCATAGTATTACAAAAAGTGAAGCGAGTTATAAAGTCTAATACTACGTGAGATAACAAACTGAGCTGATAAATAAACGCATGGTTATAAATGTGATACCACTCTCATTGCGCATCAATAAGGGATAGCACTTCCTCTTCAATATGATATCTGTTGATACAACAAGTTTTGGAACAAAGTAGAATGAAAGGAAACTTGCCGTTTGTCGACAGCATTAACAAGTACAATTCAGAGTTTTGGTTGAATAAGCAAGCCGCTTAGCTATGGAAATGTCGCTGCTCAGTGAACCCGTGAGAAGGAAAGAATAACATTTTTTGAGGATGGTTATAACTGAGTGGGATCATGAACGACAGGCCGAAACTATGGAATCGGTAAGTGTAAGCAAGGAACACCAGCTCCGGGGAAGATTCAAAAATGAGTGTCGCATTTGAGATCAGGACCACCAGTTTCCCTCACATTGATGTGAAGGAAATCGATGTTAGAACTGATACTTTTAATCCCATGAAATTGTGCTTATAAAGCACCAAAAATACCATCAAAGCACATACAGCCACAAAATAAAGCCAGAGACTTTTCGCGGCACTATTCTACTATTACACCCCCAAAAACTCAAAATTTTAATTTTCGATGAAACTTCGCCTATAGAGGTAATCCGATGCCCTGATAACGAATATGACCTTCATTTTTGGTGTTGGCGCCATTTGGCGCCGATCGGCGCCAATTTGGCGCCAAGGGTGTTTTCACCAAATTTGCTGAAAACTTGCGTTCGGGGGTTATTTGAGGTCCTGATAACGAATATAACACTCATTTTTGGCGCTGGCGCCAATTTGGCGCCAAATTGGCGCCAATTGGAGCCAAATGGCGCCAACGCCAAAAATGAAGGTCATATTCGTTATCAGGGCATCGGATTACCCCTGTAGGCAAAGTTTCATCGAAAATTAAAATTTTGAGTTTTTGGGGGTGTAACAGTAGAATGGTTCTGGGGGTGTAATAGTAGAATAGTACCGACTTCGCAAATGATTCGTTGCGAGTTCGTTATTGACAGAAGAGTTGGCAACAGCTCATTGAAATATTTTGAAAAGAATAGAAACAAGAAAAAGAAAAAGGAAAAATCAACGAAAAGCAAGAAAAACATTAACAAGAAAAGAAGAAAATAAACAAGAAAGTCCTCACGATCGAAAAGTTTCGGGAAAAATACGGGATACGAAAAGGTTTTTGTCAACCTGGACCGCTATGTCTAATATATTTGATCCCAAAGTAAAAAGCAAGTCTTTCTGAACTCACCCAAATCTACATCCATCTCCGAACTCGACGGAACGTCTCCGGGCAATACGGCGAACGACACAATCGCTTGTTGGGTTGTAGTTTGATGCGAAGGTGTAGTGGGAACGGCGGCGGCGACCGCAGGCTGCAACCAAGTCGTGGTGGTGATCGATTTGTCGCGTCGCGACGTCGCGATGCGGCGAGTACGTAAAGTGCAGAAAAAAAGGGTGGCGACAAACAGAGCGCCTGCAGACTCAACGCTACGCTAAGGATAGCATAAAACATGGATTGAAAAGGCGTGGAGGACGTTCCTAATGAGCGTTCCCACGTCAACATAAGAGAGGCCTTTCTGATGGGATGGATTGCTGGGGATGAGATGGGCGAACTTGTCCATGGATTGGTCCCCAGTCGTGGATCGTCAGCTCACATGGTGGTCTCACATGTCGGGCTCTCACAGTAGGGCTTACCATGTTGACTACTGCTATCTGATGGGCTTAATTTTTAGCAGCCTCTCTAATCCCCTCTGATATTAATGGTGACAGAGGGAACGAGGAATTTGTGGTCACGGTGGGAATGGGGAAATGCCAGTAGGAGCCGTCATTGCACGCACGTTATTCGATAGAAGCCTAAACAAGTCAGGCATTTGTTCGTTCCAAAAAACTGATACTATTAGTAAACCAACTTTTGATGTAATGAACGGCCTTCAATAGAGGTCGAGGAATGAAAGTCGAGCGAGTTACTGCCCACATCACCTGCTTTTGATTCGTGAATGAAGGGAAGTCTCAGATCTCCCATACAAATTCAAATGTGCAGCCCCTCAGACAGGTACTTTCACCAGACCCTCATTAAAGAAAATAATAACAGGACCCAAAGTAGGTTATTAGGCGTGGCCATAATAGGGTTTGCCACGTTTCCGATAATGAATGCACGACGAATGCGTGGCGCACTTCATGGCGTCGAGAGAAGGAATCTGACTGACATCGAGGGAGGGTTCTATTTACTATCTAATTAAATGGCGACCTTTCAGTAAATTGCCCGAGGAACGTTATTCAAAAGGGCAGAGACGCGATTTTGGAGGGACCTAGAAAATTTGATTTTTTTACTGAGCCCTATATTCGAGCTGAATGAAATGTGTTGGGGAATTCCCATGCCTGATGACAAGTCTCTGCGAAGAGCCATTTATGTCATTTCCAAATGAACAAGTCAAAGAAAAAAAAAAGATCGTAATGAAATAGCCTAGAGAAATGAACAGCAACCCAACCATTACCGTCGAAAACACCAGATTTCTCCTGTTAACACTGATGATAAGTGAAGCCATCTCAGAAGAGATAAGACTTTGCTGAGAAGAAAGCGAGAACATGGGGAAGCAGAGAATCTTGCGAACTGATATGGCTGCATGGCTCGGTCGCGAAAAAAATGGAAACTGACTAGGGCCTTGAATGATATGCCTGATTGCTGGGGACCAATTTGGCCGCCGAAATCAAACCGAGCAGATAGTTATCTAAACTAAATGTATAGTGTTTACATCATTATAGGTAGAGCCCAAAGTTTTACCACAATGCAGTACTTCATTTTGAGTTCACAACAAAGCTCCGCTGCTTCGCGACCGCACGCTGAACTGTCAACTATCAGGTTAGTAGGGAAGTACTTCAGCGAAATTTCAAAGCGTTAAAAATTACGTATAAACATTGTGAACATGATAGCAAGGGTGACGAACTTCTAGTCAATTCTCCGGGCAATCAACACATGAGTAAACATGCGGGCTTTCACAACTTTACCATCAATGATTGAACAACCCCAGGGGCCGCAAGGTATGCTCTCCTGTTCGGGGCTGGGACGCCCTGGATTCGGGTCTCTCTCTCTCTCTGCTCTCCCCGAGAGCATACCTTACCGGGAACGCAACCCTTTCCTGTTCGGGGGAGTATACCTTACTTAGGGCCCCAGATCCGCACCATCACCTTCTACTAAGCACCTCGAGGGAACAACGCAAGTGTAGCGGCTGAAATTGTTGGCGACCTAATAGCTGAGAGCACCGTTCACCGATCACCAACGGTAAAACTTGCTTGAACGGCTTCATTGCAGAAGATACTAACCTTTGAAGAAACACAAGCATTGCGCCATAGTTTTATGGGGTGTGAAGGGACCCATCCACTATGATTGCTGAACACAGACGAGATAGTCATGGCTAACGCCTATGAACAGCAGCATTTGGCCAACGCGGTTAGAAAGGGACATTCGAAACCATCACGCGGGGTACCCAATAACGACATCTCACGTCGAAATCTCTCTTCAGACTCTGATACGAAAAAGTCGAGACTGATGATAGCGCAACTAGTGCAACATAGATTTCAACCTCATGAAAAATTGGGGGTTTTTGAGGTAGATCACATCGGGTCACGTGATGCAGTTGTACCACGTTTGATCTGATAAGATCAGAAGGCACATGTTACTTGAGGAATACCTTGGCAAGAAAATTTGAAATAAAAGACGATGAATCGCAAAAAAAGAAAATTCCGGAAAATGCCACTTTGGGCACAATTGTGTTCAGAAGAAGCGAAACTCTAGTAGGAATTCATAACATTCCCAAACATCCAAAAACCCAAAAAATGATTTGAAAACGAACACAACAATCTCAGAAATTTGAACATGTTGAAGCCTTTGAGTGCCTTCCTCCCAAGCAGGCTTCCAGGGGAAGTATTTACCTGTGTATATCCTCTGCCTGAGCTACTGGTGACCAAAGGAAAGAAAATATGTCGCTGTCTATATAGAAGGCTTAGTAGGCTCGCTAAGCTATCATATAGTCTCTATTATTCGGAAAGACGCAAAAGTCATTCGATGTTGTTGATTAGAATAGCCATTGTTCACCCCCCCNAGGAATACCTTGGCAAGAAAATTTGAAATAAAAGACGACGAATCGCAAAAAAAGAAAATTCCGGAAAATGCCACTTCGGGCACAATTGTGATCAAAAGAAGCGAAACTCTAGTAGGAATTCATAACATTCCCA